CTGTTTTTCAAAGTTTAAATTCAAATTTTAAAGTTTTTATTTACTTTTTAATTTTTTGGTTCAACACAACGATTTACAAACTTATTAAGTGTGTTTAAAACTTCTGCACAGAAACCCCCGGGGTCCAGAGCTGCTCCAGGACCGGGTTCTGCCGGACCCGGGGTCCAGAGCTGCTCCAGGACCGGGTTCTGCCGGACCCGGGGTCCAGAGCTGCTCCAGGACCGGGTTCTGCCGGACCCGGCTCCAGTCCGCAGCGCTGCAGCCTCGGACCTTCAGGCCGCCTCCAGAGGCTCCTGACCCGGTCAGAGCGGCGGACTGGAGCCGGGCTGAAGGACCACCTGGAGGTCTCTGGTCCACCTCCAACAGAAGGTTCTACAGACGGACGGTTCCCAACAGAACCTCTGAGATCCAACTCAGCGTTCAGAGAACGCACAATCCGGCAGAACCGGATCCAGATCCAGCGGAGGCCCTCCGGAGCCGAACCAGGATCTGCACCTGACGGTCTGAGCGCAAACTGGGTCCAACAAAGCCAGAATCAGAACCAAAGGTTCTGTTGATCTGATCAATTGTTTGAATTAGAACAGTTAGCTACAATAATAAAATTCTTTTGGACCTCAGGAACCGGACAGAACCCGCCGGAACCTGGTTTTATTTTCGCTCCGGGCGCGCGGCGCAAACAGAAGCGCAGCGTCATCCGCGCGCAGACCGTCAGAACCGAGCCGGTTCCGAGCGGGCCTGGTCCGTCCTCTGTGCGCGGATCTGCCCGGCTCCATGTGGACCCGGTTCTGATGGGTCCACGTTTGAAGCGTCAGGATGAGGAGGAGCAGAGACCTTTTTTTATTAAACATGGTTCTGGTTCTGGTTCCACCTGAACCCAGACCGGTTCGGTCAAGCTCTCCAGGCAGCGGACCCGGACCCGGACCCGGACCCGGACCGGACCCGGACACTTACTTGGTGTTGGTCGTGTTCCAGTAGATGGACTCCAGGATGAGCGGCCGGACCAGGTCCAATCTGAACAGAACCAGAACTCCGAAACAAACATATCTCCACAGCGTCATGGTGAGCRCGGATCCGCCTCAGAACCGCGTCAGTCCACTCAGAACCGAACCAAACAGAATCAGAACAAATGTCCAGATTAGATCCTGATCCAGCGCATCCGAACCGAACCACGAGCCCCCGCTCAGAACATCTCCAGAGGACAGACCCGGGTTCACTCAGACCCACTCAGATCCATGATCCTCCTCAGCGGAACACAAATAGATCCGTCAGGAATCCAGAACCAGAACCGGGACGATATTCCGCTCTCAGCTGCAGGGGGAGGTGACGGCGGCACCGGGATGAAACAATGAGGTTCGGGTGGACGAACAGAACCAGATGATCAGATGTGTGAAGGATGACAGGAACCAAACGGGCCGGGATGAAAGAACTTCTCATACTAAACAGGTCCAGGTCCCAGAAACAGGTCCAGCTGCTCAGAACTCGACTCGGTCGGGTCCCGCGGGTCCGGACCCGCAGCTTCGGTCCCTCCGGTTCTCAGGCGCGCGCACAGTGAGCTGCTGCTCCCGAACCTGCAGCAGAGGAACTGCGGCTGGGACTGACGAGCAGGAGCTGGGTCTGCGCAGGCCCCGCCCACAAAGACAGAGCCCCGCCCACAGCTGCAGCTGATTGGTCGCTCCGCGGGAGAGTTCAGGAACCTCAGCTGTCAATCAAAGGAAACTCCTCAGAATAAATAAATGTTTTTAATGAAATATTTCATAAATACATATAGTTTTATTTTTATTGTTTTTATTTTTCTGTTTTAGACACAAAAACACTTTGTTTGTTTGTTTGTTTGTTTGTTTGTTTGTGTTTGTTTGTTTGTAAACAACAGCAGAAAACTCTGGTTCTGATTGGTTCACCTGCTCAGGTGTCTTTATCTGTATAGGTTAAAGAAATGTTTTGGTTCTGATTGGACTCATCAGAACCGCAGATGGACTCAGAGCCGAACCTTCAGTCTGAGCTCATTGGTGGACCCACAGCGCCCACCAGAGGATCAGAACTGAATAATTCTTTAAAAAAAAACTGATTTTATTTCTGTTTCAAATAAAAAATAATCCATCTATTAACTACAGAGCCCTCAGGTCACTCAGGGTTCACAGAACCAGAACCAGAACCAGAAC